TCATTGCGAAGCTCTTCTCGGGTCTTTGGCTTTGGAAGGGGAAAAAACTCTATGAAAACTGCTGTCTGGATCTTGGCATGTTTGTGTTGGTGATGTGTTGCAGCTGCACTTGAATTCCACTGAATTTACTGAGTACTTTGCTTTTGCACCGACAGTACTGAATTGCGTGGGTACTAATCAGGCAAGCAACCTTGACTTTCCTTAGAGTCATGTGTACCATTATTTTCACGCATCACTAGATGGGATCGGAAATGGTCAGTGGGATGTTAACGTTCATATACATGTCAACAATTCACAGAAGGTGGCAGCCATGAGCAAATTATAGCAAATTGTTTCATGGCTAGAAGTAGTTTTTGGATGTTTTTGGAAAGGGCAAAAAGGGCGTGCAGAGCTCGATGCGCAGTTACAAGGGGAATTGGACACAGAGACCCTTAAAACCACCAGGCCTCTCAGTGTAGTTATATGCCGAAACACAACATTTGGCCCAACATCAGTTTTAAATTTAGGGTTTACGAATTAAGGTTTTGGGATTTGGGCGTTTAGGTTTTAGCCATTTCCCTGGATTGGTTTTGAGGGTTTGAGGTTTGAAGGTTTCAAGTTGTTGGGGTCAAGGATAGCTCGTGCAATGACACAAGGTTCCACACCACGCCAGAACAACTTATTGTTCATTTACCCTCTGGCTATTTAACATAGCCATGGAAAATGGCCCATCTATAGATGGTTTACCTATAACAAATGGTGATTTTCCATGGCTATGTTAAATAACCAGATGGTATAGTGTGACGAGAGTTCACACGGTTTTTTTTACATCTACCTCAGGGCCCCTGATATGCCCTGCAGGGCTTGTGATCGCTGCACAGGAGCTAACTCCGAAAGACATCGAGAATGGATTCGACTCATGGCCAAATCATTTGCTCAAGCTGTCCTGTAGACTTGTTGACATCATGTAATTTTTGACTTGACGAGTTTGGAACTTTGCCGAACTATGCACCAAACACTCCAAGATGCACTCGACTGATTTAGGTGTGTGATGGTGTGTGTGAAAGCAGGGTACAGTACCCCAAAATTGCATTGTTGATCACTATTTCCATGTTGAAATGGTCACTGTAGGATAATATGATATATGTATATATATATATATCCAAATTTAGGACAACAATATCTGATTATGCCTGATAATGAAGGGTTGTTTTTGCTGAAAACGGGTAAAAACTCACAGAGTTGCTGGATGTTGCTGGGCTCAGGATGACATGTACAGGCATATGCCTGACATCCAGCTGCTGCCTGAGCAATTTCTTCCGTTGAGGTGTCACAGTTTTAAGCTGTTTAGGGCCCCTGAGTCCCAACAGAAAAATGATAGTTGAATGATTTGAATGCTTGCCATTTCATCATTCTACAAAACGAAGACGTTGGTCCTTCGTGTTGTTCCATGGGAAAACTCGTTTGGTGCGAATTTTTTCATCTCAAATCACCGAAGAAATGGGATGAACATTGGTTTATAACTGTTTATATCTCCATGAAGCTCCCTGATTTTCTCCCACAAAACTTCACCCAAAAATCCATGGAAATGTGGCCGCAGCGGCCATAGGCTCGATGTTCCAGATGCGGATCAGATGGCGCGCACCTTCGTAGTCGAGGCGCTTCACTGAACATAGAGATCGACGATTGGGCACTAGTAGATTGTTAGATGGTATTATAACGTAGATATATTATAGATATTATAGATATTATAGATATTCTTAAGATTATGACAGTGTCACCATGTTTATCAGGATATGATCACCAAGCGATAGCCGTCGCCGTTGGACCCCAGGCGATGAAAAACAAGGTGCTCCGAGAGACGTGGCCGGATCCAGAAGAGCCAGATGAGTGAGACCCTGAAAGTTTCAAGGGCCGAGGGCCCAAAAATGATCCAAACCATGTCCGTTTTAAATATGTTTAAATAGGAGGAACTCCCAAACTATGGGATTTAATGGGAATGGATTCCTGGATACTCCGAAATGATCCAAAATGGCCTATATATATATATATATGAACTACATATGAACTATATATGAACTATATATGAACTATATATGAACTATATATGAACTATATATGAACTATATATGAACTATATATACCATGAAGTATCACCACATCACTCACTGGATTGCAGACCTCGCCAGCGAACACGGCCCGCGCGACACGCACGGCCCGCGCCGGAGTGCTTCGACAGATTTGGACGTCTCTCCGAGAGCTTTGAAAGTCTCCTCCTGCAGGGAGCTGCACCGCTGATGGAAGTTGATGGAAACACCAAAAAAAAGGCAACGGGCTACACCCAAAACGACGACTTAACGATTCATCACCAATCACCTGTTCGACCCTAGTAGAAAATATATTAAAATATGGTAGCCATGCGTATAATATATACATATCTTAAACAAATTGGTTCCAAAGTGCAAGGGACAGCTGTATGTATTTCCACCTTTGATTTTTTCCATACAGATGTGTCAATATTCGCTTCACAAGTGAAAGAGACGGCTGTATGTATTGCGGCTGTATGTATTGCCACCTTTGATTGAGCATTTGTTCTCAGCCTATCAGAAGTTGAAGCACACGTGCAACCATGAGATTTCAGAGGCGAGTGCAGCTTTGCTGCCTTGAAGGAACCGGCCTGTGCAATAGCTGAAGTCTGTTTCCCGCTGACTCCACACCAGAGGGGATTGATTTCTATTGTCATCAACAAAAAAACATCTAACACTTGGAAATTCAACACCCAAGAAACAGCCATATGACCCTCAGCCACTGAGGGTAATGTGCATGCATGCAGTGTGCAGTGGCGAATCTTCCGTGGCTCATTTTTGAATCGTTCTTGGTGCTTCCCTGCAGTCAAAACAACTTGCATCCTCCCAGTCACGAACAGCAGCACGAAGAGCGGTGTCAAGCAAAGTTCAGAGGCAAAGACGAAGGATGACAGCCTTTATATGATGTCACATATATGACTGGGATACTGGCACAACTGATGCATGGGTGACAAGAGAATGAGGAGATTGTGAGAATGTGTCTTGTTTAAATCATGAATAGTAATGATTCATGATTGATTCATGATTAATATGTTTATACAAAACAAACTAGAAAATGAACTCCAAAATCTTTCCACCACTTTCAACTTTCAACTCTTCGCCGGAAAACGAGTGGTTGTACCATTGACAATTTGCTGTCACGTGTATGAGGGCAATCATTGTGAGAGTGGCACCAGGGGTGGATCTCTAGGATCTCAAAGTAGGGCCGTGCTGGAGATTTTGATGTCCCATTCTTCACCTTTGCCGAAAACTTTGTGGTAGGAGTTCCATGGTCGCCTCGAAATCGGCTGGCAATTCAGTCAGGACGTCACGACCGTCGGCTCAATTTACCGTCGGCTGCGGAACTGCTGCTCACTTTTGCTTTGGGCAGCCTCCCTGGCTGCGGAAGACAGCTGACGAAACTCCGTTAGTAAGAATGTTAGTATAACTGACTAGTGAATGATAGCATTGCAATATATATATATATTATAATAAATTATACTATACGTATTTGTATATATGTATGTATATATACATCAACTCATAATATATTCTCATGGCACACATAATCCCTATCAGATGGGAAATCGGTCCTCACGGGACCGATTCTAAGCCAAGGTTTTTTTTCAAGCTGCACACAGCACGCCTTGTACAGGGACAGCTGGCCCGGTGGCAGACCAACCACAGGAAGAGACCTGCCAACTGTGAAGCGACTGCGAGAAGCATAGATTGATATTGTTGATCAATGATAAATTCAGCGACATTGGTAGAGAAATAGAGGGCTTGGAGAAATGCCAGGCATTGCAGTTGGGATTCCCATCAACAACCAACAATGATGCCTCTTATTTTGGACCGGAACGTCTGATTGCTGCAATCAACAAACGACTCAACTAGGGTTTCTTATCTTCAACTTACTTTGATATGGGATCAAAACCGCCACCCCTCTGGACAATATGTTGAATGTGGCGTCATTGACGTCGCGAAGTTTTTTCGAAGAGACGGGCAAACTCCAGGCACCATGACATACATACACATATATTATATCATATATGTATATAGACAAATCTATGAAAACATATGTGTATATATATATATATATACATACATGCATATATATATGACATATACTAGTATTAAAAATAGAACATACATAGAAATATAGACATGTTTGTAATGTATATATATATGACCAATATATTGTTTATTTAGGACAGGGCACCCGTTTCTAGAGGACATGGCAGCTGTGACACAAGAACACGCACCTTAAATCACCTTAATTTAAATGGAGGAGACCCGGTTGCTGTGAGGCCTTGTATGATCGTACTGGAAACATATGATTTTGCTGACAAAATAGTGCGTTCGGAGTTGAACCACACGTTTTTACCAGCAACCTGTTTGTGTAGACGCAACAAACGAAGTAACAGGACCTCCTTCCCACACCAGCAGCGATCATGCTAGAACGGGGAGCTAAATCTGTTGAAGACGTTGAACAAGTCACGGAATGAAATAGCTGCAATGGTACTCAGCTTGCTTCACATTCCAGCCGTGGCATATCACCAGCTCACGAAGTTCCAAATCGACCCCACAACCGCAATTCGCGGGTCAAAGCGGGCAAGGTGTGTGTGATTGTGAGATGGTGGTGCCAGTGGGCTTGTGCAGAAGATTGTGGTCATCGATTGCTCGTTGTCCGATTAGGCAAGAGAGAGCCATTATAGCTGCTTTGCTTACCGCACCAGAGACAGAGGTTTGTGCAAAAAGGAATGGCAGACATTGGCAGAGCAGGGACTGTGAGGACTGTCGACTTGTTTGGCACAGGATGAAGATGTATATGGCATGCTGAGATGATTCAACTGTTGCTTGACTTCAGTTGTGTTGAAACACATCAGCCCTTTCTTGCGAGTCCCAGTGCTGAAAAACTTTGACGACCTTGGCTCACAAAATGGCTCCAGTAGCAGGCCCAAGGCCTTTTCCACGATACCAATGCTCCCCAGGGAGAGTTCAGGCCCGGTGTTTTTCTCCAGGCATTGCAGATGTCAGAATCATGTCATGTCCCCAGTAAGGTAGACTTTCTAGTCGGCTGCAGATTTGCCACGAAGGATGATAATAACAAGGATGATAACGATGATGATAATTAGTAATTCGTAGTATATAAATATAGATAGTAATTTGTAGTAATAGTAGTCGTCGAAGTCATAGCAATACACATACCGTTGTACACCTATATACAGTAATATAATATACGTATATATTAATATATATACGTATATATATATACGTATATATATATATATAATACATACAGTATATGTCATCCAAGAGTTCACAGTGCTTCGCCGCTGCATGATTTTGTTGATTGGCCTGTGAGGATACCCACGTCCCACCCGTGGGCCATCAACAAGCACATCCTTGCGAAGGACGCGAAGAGACGGGACACCAAGATCCCAGATGTACGTGCAACATTTGGGAATTGGTCAATATATGTCAATATTTAAGATCTAGGGGACCACTGACTGATGTTGGTCCATTCTTAGTGGTAAACCATCCATAACCATCCCATTTAAGATTTTGATGATTTTGGGGTGCTGCGCCCAAATTTGACCCATCTCGAGACCGTTGAAGGTAGACAATATACTTCACCACTGCAGGAGACCAGACTAGTCGTCACATTACTATTGGGATTCGTCTTGGACAGCATCATCACGTAAAGGCAGAAGTACAGTCTAGCCCTCCACAGGCTAGTTCCCTGCACCCAGCCTGCAGATGCAGTCCCAACACCGCCTGCGGAGTGCAAAACCGATGTCTAAGGGTCTCAATATTAACATGCCATCCAGCTAGCTAGATAGATTTAACCTGCTTATTTGGATTTATTTGGCATATTCCCATATTACTTTTTGTCCATGCCACCTTTTGAACTTTTTCAAGTTCAACTCTTCCTGCCCACACTGAGGCAGAACCCGAGCTTTCTCATTGCAGCATCGATGGAGGAGTTCATATTCAGAGCGGTACTGAAGTATGTGATAGGATTATATATATATAGTGTATATATATATATATAGTGTGTGTATATATATATATACATATAGTGTGTATATAAGCATATAGGATGTAGATATGATTAGATATGTGTCAAAATGGAGATTCCATGGACCCCAAACGTGCGGAATTTGGGAAAGAAGCGAAGCAGTTTGAGTTTCACATGACCCATATGGGTTCACCTCACAGCTGACGCTGAGGACTTCCCGACAAGCTTCCAAGACCATGGATGGGCATCGATTCTGAGGCGCTTTTTCTGCACGTTTTAAACGGCGAAAAATCCACATGTTCTCGGCCAATGATCCATGTAGCAGAAATGAACGAGACACCAAAGGTACCCTCTGGTAATTTAATATAGCTATTGAAAATGACCATTTATAGTGGATTTTCCCATTAAAAATGGTGATTTTCCATAGTTATGTTAGTTTACCAGAGGGTAGATGAAAAAGCACCAGGCCTGTTTACTGATCCCCCGACAGTGGTATGATACTAGTAGACAGCAATTAGACGGTCTTTGTTTGTCCCTTGCTGAAGCTGCAGGCTATGCCAGCTGCTATTTCATCTAGATCCATGCATAGTTTGTCATCATTTTCCCAACATCAATTTTTAGCTGGGGGTAATTACTGTAAATCCCTTACACTGCACATAAAAATGCGAAATGCTATGGTCAAAAATTATTGCGCTTATATAGGTTATTTTCCAAAAGGATGTATATGGTGGTTTCCTAAAATGGTGGGACCCTCACTTTAATATGATTTTTCCACTATAAACCATCCATTTTAGTTGTACCCTCATTCTATGAAACCTCCCATATTGAGCCCCATTCACAGGATTCCACCGACCCCGGACGACCTCTGCAGGCAGTTTATGGCGCCATTGAAGAGGAAGGCCCAGTGGAATGCACACCGACCAGTCCAAGTTGGGCCGCCCAGCCACCAAAAAAACATGGAACATCTATCAAGTCTATCAACATTTGCAGGAAAACCACATATATATAATATGTTTTTCATACTGGCAAATAGATGTAACGACATTAACGACTATGGTTTCATGTCGATTTTCCCATGAAAGCCATTGATCAGAGCAGACTTTTCCTGGGTCCAAAAGCTTGACCGTGATGATGCGGACCAAGTTGACCATGTCCTGTGACACTGTGTGATGATGATCTCCAGATGTTTTGGATCATTTTGTTATTTTTAGATGGTTGAAACACATTATTTATCATTTATTTATAGTTTTAGAAAGAAGATACAGTAATAATATGTAATAATATGTAATAATAGAATGATACAGAACCTATTACAACATATTACAACATGTGAACACATTTCTATCATTTCTCTACCACAGTGGTTTGATCCCGAGGCAAGAGCCCCACCAGCCCCAGCAGCCCGGAACGAAGTGTGGCCCGAGAGCAGAACGCAGCGAGACAGTGCCGTGACTGGCGCAGGGTAACGTTTGGAGCTTCAAACTGTGCCATGGATACCATGAATGTTGTGATTTACATGTGATTTACATGAATTTTCACTGGAGGTCTGGTTGTTCCAATGATGGTTTGAAACTCTTGAACACAAATTTCCCAAGTATGCAGAGCAAACGCTTGGATACGGGGTTTGTTGGTGCTCAAACTGCGCACAATTTGCTTACATCAAGCTTGCTCGCAATCCAATGGAGGCTTTTTGGAAGTCAATCTCGAGTATTCACCAGGATCGAAAGCTTGTATGCAACACGTATTCAACAAGATCTGAGGGCCCAGAATATGGAGGGAAGTGAGAAGTTTAAACGACAACAAAGGAATCCTCAGGGCCAACAATACCCATATGCGGCCGCAAGTAGCACAGAGGCGACGTCTTGGGGTCTTTGTATGTCTTTGTTTGAGGTTCCTTTGGACGACCATGGATTCGGTGATGCTGCGGCCATGTGAAGTGGCCAACAGCCTCCCAATACCTTTGGCGGCTGCTGGGGCGCCCAGGATTTGGGAGAACCTGGGAGAACCAGCTCCGCTTGACGCGGAAGACCCCTGGGGACCTGAGGTTTTGACGCCTTTTGCAGACAGTGCTGACTTCACTTCTTTGTCGGGGCCTCAACTTTCGCTGGTGTCAAACATGTTGTTACTTGGAGATACCAAACAGGCTTGGAGTCTTGAAAGCTCAATCTCATTGTGCAGATTCAGATATATAACAGGTTTGGCTCAAGCTGGTCAGTGCTCAGTTTCGGGCTGCGGTGCCATTGCCGTGCTCATCCGTGCTCGCTTTCTTCGATGAAAAATGCAAAAAAACAATCAACAACATCACGACCCCTAGACTATTCTTGCTCAAAGACTGACTTGCACAATCCAACAAGCCAATTGGGAAGACATCATGTGGTTGGTGGTTTCAAGCAACTTAAGTTTTTCCCATTTCTGCGTTACCTATTTGGCATCGCGATCCTAGTTGAGGCCTTTGTCAGACATTGGCTCCGAAGAACCTTTAAGGTGTCCTCGTTGTAGGCGCGGCCGGAGAAAGCGAAAGGTCAGTTGCAGGCCCTGCTACGGAAGCGCCCATCTGTAGATGATTTACCCATTGACAATGGTGGTTTTCCATAGCTAGATCACCGATAATTGTCACAGCAGAAAATTGTTGAGTAGTTTTTACCAAACATGGAACATTGCAGCATAAAAACAAGTGGACTGGAATGGCTGTAATGGGATATGCTGGGGCTACAATGGGATACATATATATGACCACAACCAACAATAAAGATTGGGTTTGTCCCGAAATAGGCATACTATGGTACACCTCACAAAAAGGGATTTAACATGATTTAACATATTGGGCACTGGTGATAAAATAATGGGATGTCGGGGTGCTTGTACGCTACTTTGCACGAACCCATGTTTGGTGCATTTGTCCGCTCAGCCTTGGTTCTGTAAGGTGCTATGCAAATCCACATTTCAAATGGAGTGCGAAGGAAAGTCGGAAGCCGCTTGTCACAGAAACAAGCACCACAAACTTTGGTGGATGAGCAGCTGATGGTGAGCAGCCAGTGATCTTGTTGATGACAATCACGATCATCGTGCAGGTGCTAGTGGTTGTGATATGTTGTGATGATAGCTGAGATGAACATGCGATTACAGAAAACATTTTTTTTAATCCTGTCTACACAGACCATATTCGCCAAGCGGTGTCCTGTGCACCATCGAAGTTTCTGAGGTTCACATGCAACATGTGCAGCCAGAGACTCAGCATGGTCTCACTTGGATCGACGCGAAACAATCAAAATCAATTCTCGATGTCAGCAAAAACACAATCATAAAATAATGTGTATATATATAATTATATAATATTATATTATATATATATATTTAAAACAAAATCCATATTTTATGAAGATATTTGGATTTTGATCCTGTTACAGATGGCCAGGGGAGGTCACCAATAGTATAGCCTGGCATCAGGTCATAGCCTGGATGTTCCTCAGAAGTTTCTGGACGACATGGAACGCAATGGCCAGTGTGCGGACCGCGACTTGGGGACTTGGGCTGTTTCCATGACTTGGACGAAGATTTTTGGTTGGAAGGTGATGTCATTTTTGTTTAATCCCTTGAGATATATCTGATATATCCAATATATATCCATATACTCCGGGTTGAAAATGTTGAAAATCCGGGCTTTTTGTGCAGAGGTGGTTGCGCCATCTATTTAACAGTGAAAAAAACATTTCCCAATATATACCCGAAACAGCCAATGTGCCTGAAGATGGCGCAACCCATTTTGCACATGTACAAAATTGCGCCATCTACCCCATTTTCAATTTAAAATCTGTCTTTCGGAAAATGATTTTTCGGTCATCAAAACTTTCATGAAAAAGGGCTCGGCCGGTTGAAGTGAAGTTTTGAAGGGAAAAAACAGTTTTCATGCATACTAGATGGCGCAACCCGAAATTTTCTTGCGCCATGCGCTTTGAAACCGGGAAGTCTTTGCCATTTGCCACCCCAACAAAAACCATAAAAAAACCAAACATGCTAAGAATAGATGGCCTAACCCATCCTAACCCCCCAAAAGGGGCGAGTCACTGTCCCTTCAAAACATCGCCTCGGGGGGATCTCCAAGAAATCCACCAGGCGCCATCTATACGTGCCGTCTGTGGTAGTTGGCAGGGCCATGGATTCTCAACCCGGTGTATATACGTAATATAAATTGATATAATATATATGTATATAATATATATGTATATATATATATATGATAATAGATATTATATAATACTATATATCATATGTGATATATACATATCCCACCCAAATTCTGTCATATCCAGTTCGGTCACCCCAACGACATCCGCAGGACGCGGACACCCATCCAGAGCTGGTCTATGGCTCCGTGGATTTCACGGCCAGAGCCTTGCTGGAACCCGACCTGCCGGGGTCACTTGGCGAATGCTTCACGGTACACCACAGAATTATATCACCAGCCTGGGGGATGTAGAAAACCATGGAAAACCCAATTTTTATAGGAAAATGATCTATAAATGCTGGATGTTCCACATCTATGTTTAGTTTTGGAGAGCACTTCATACGATTTCCCCAAATTCAAGAAGAACTAGGTGGTATACTACTGTAATTAAAGATGTATGAACCAGCCCCGAACCGGAAGTTTGTTGATGATTATCATTGAGTTTACCACTCCAATACCCTTGTTGGTAATTGTTGGGGGTTACTACCACCTGGTTTAAGCAGGATTGTGATACAACCATGAAGGATAACTGTTGATCATCCAGTGAAAATCTTGGGACGAGGCACTTCCACTGTGAGTATTCTGAACTCAAAAAGCAGATGGGCTCTTGAGTCCTAGAAACCAGGTTTCCAAGTCTTGCTCCAGATGGGGCCATGGAGTCTTTATAATATATCAAGAATATATCAGAATTATTCTAGACTATTCTAGAATGATCCCATAGGATCCATGGTGCTATATATGGTGCTCCATGGATCCCATCAATATATCCCCAGTCATGTTAGCATTAATATACCAGCACCATGGATCCGTCATGGCTGTGATCCTCAGTCCCCTGGTCCTGGGCGCAGACCCTTCGTGCCCTCGGTGTGCTTCGCCATCGAGACGTCGCCAAATGCCATCGAGCGGGGCTTCAGCTGGGCTGCACTGGAAGCACTGGAGAAGGTCTTCCAGGACGGGTGGAGGATATGGAGGATATGATGTGTGGGTCCAAAGATAGGGAGGATTGGGATTTGGAATGATTTGGACCAGAGAAATCACAGAAATTTTGGGTTTCTAAAGGCCCGAGATGGTGATTTTTTGTTATTGTAAACATTTGTAAACCAAGAATTGAGATTTTGATATTTTGGAGGTAAAGATGAAATTTGAAGCTAGGGAGATGAAGGAAGAAGCATCACATGTCCAGATCACATGTGCAGAAACGGGGGATATAATATCAATGGCCATAGAACAATGCGGATTTAAGATGTTCCAACAAGTCCACGGTTGTAGCATGTTGTGGCCAAAGGGAAGTACACCATGGGCAGAAGCGTAATTACGGAGAAGTTCAAACCGAAGGATGAAATTCAATGGATGAAGAAATCATGCTTTTTATTGGAAGTGTGACGTTTGGTTCCAAAGCGAAATGTGACAGGCGCCACACTCTTTAGAGAGAGATGTATACCTCGTGACCTTCGACGAAGCTGTCGCTTGGCTGTGACAGCGCAAAGGAATCTTTCAGTGTTACTGGTATCAATTTTTGCCACTATCATACTTCAGGCGTCTCAAAAAAGCCCAGCTTTAACCCAAAAACACGGTGGAACCAGGCTTCCAGCGTTCCGATTCTGTTCGGGTGTTTGGGCGTGGCAAACAAACGACGCACCACTCCCAGACTCCGAGATGGAAACTAAACTCAACAGTCACTGCTGGCACTGCGAAGGATCAGCACTGGTGTCTCAACCCATATTTGGGATGATCGGATGATCCCCAGGTCACATTCTACGTGCCCACCAGCCATGGGCGCTTCCGGGCAGTGGTGATGCCTGACATGGAGGAACCATTTGTCCCCGTCAGCCCAGAGTCGCTTGGCGCTCCTTGGACCAGCACTTGAGGAGACAAGGGCAGAGAAACATTTCAAAGAAACCCACAAGATGCAAATAGTGAATTATACGTGTATATATAATTATATATATACCTAGACCCGACAAAGTAAAGAAAAAACTGTACGTTTGGGCTTTCTTTATTTTTGGTCCATTTGATCCACTTCAGATCAAACTTGAATGCTTGGAAGCAAAACTGTACGCTCTTTTTCCTTCTTTTGCCGCTAGAAATTCATTCCATCAAACTGACGTGCATACTGGCCCATCACTTTCTCTATGGTGCGGATCGTCTGTGTCAATGGATGCACGGTCCGAGCTGTGCGGGATATTTTTCCAATGAAGTCTTCATCAGCCCAAGTAGCTAGGCCTGAGGCAGATCAAGGTGAAGAGCTTCTCAAGTTGAGATGGCACATATATCTTTTGGTGGATTTGCAAGAAAAAATGATAAGATAGTCCAAGAAACTAGCTGGGTTCAGGGCCACAGGTGGCTTGATGTCTTCAGCAATGTGAATACCCAAGTGGTACTTTGGGCGGTAGCGAAATAATTTCAACTGCTTTCTGAAGCATGTTGTTGCAAGAGATGCATAGGCCACCTAGGCTGATAAGATAGGACCACAAGGCCAAACAAAGAAATCCCATAATTAAGAGAAAGAACCCAAAAGTACAGTTTTTTCTTTGTCAGGTCTAGGATGTTCAAATCATATTTTGTCAGATCATGGCTCTAAATGATAGATCTAGGGACATTCATCTCCACGCCAGCTGTTCTGGCAATGGTGCAGCAATCGCCCTCCATGAGGACACCTTGCTGTCGAATGGTTCGAAAGAATTTGTTCGTGCACTTCAGCATGTACACGCACATCTTGAAAAGGGGATTCTCCAGGTCATTCACCTGAAACACATGCTGATAATGGACCAAAAATAAAGAAAGCCCAAACGTACTTTTTTTTTCTTTACTTTGTCAGGTCTAATGTTTTTTTTGCATGTTACATAGGATTCCATCACATATGTTAGTTATATGACTTGCAGTCAGTATGCAAAACCTCATCTTCCCGATTCCATGGCCTTTGCGTCCGCAACCTCGGTCTCCAACCATGCCATGATGAGGCTGGTGTCAAAAGCTTTTCCGCCGTGGGTTTCAGGAAAAGATTTTTTCCTGGGCACAAGTGACACTTAGGGATTGGGCATCTAATTTGGTGAACTATCCCCCATTTAGAGTTTATATAAAAGCCTAGGCACATCATTCCAAAGGATTGAACTATCCCCAATTTAGAATTTATATGCGCGCTTTTTAAGCCTAGGCACATCATTCCAAAGGATTGCGAGGAAAAACCATCAATGGATGTAGTTCGAGTTTTGTGTTTGCTTGAATTTGCCTTGCACCATGCATCAAACCTTCCATAGGCAACTTCCAATTTGTCATCAAGTTTTCCAGGGCCAAACTGTCCCAAATGTGCCAAAAGCACAATTGAACTTGCACTTGCATCCTGTCCATACCCAAGATGGTAGATGTGAAGATAGTCCAGCAATATATGGTCCACCGAATGAGATCCCGGGATTTGCAGCATCACGGAAAAACACTTGAAAGGGGGCTCACCAGAGTCCTTTCTCCACTCAGCATCATCCATTGGATTGTGCCATTCCTACCATGGATTTGGAATGGTTTGGACATTTGGGTGGCACTAATTTTGAACATATGAATGTAAATTGAAATTCAAGTGATCGAGCATAATATGCAATAACACCTTCATTGCTATATGGATTAATCTCATAGGTGACTGTTCCCTGAGCACTGTCCTCTCCACAGCACCTGTGACATATGCGCTTGGACGTGAACCCAGAACTGAGATGAAATGCCTCAGCTGAATCATGGCCCGTTCTTTATGATATCTATAGCATGCATCATCAGTATATATTTTCATCAATCAGAAGGTCATATGGTTCAGGTGTCCCTAGCTGATGAATTATTGAAAACACACAAACACATGCATGCACATATTATTTTCAGATACGATGCTTTGCGTAGAAAGGGCCAATCGCCCTTCGTCCCGATGTTGACCAGGCGCAGTGTGTTGCCACCAACCTCCTCAGCTGCAAAGGCCAGACAGGGTCAGCATGACTGGGTTGCCACAATATGAAAAAAATGAGGAACCAAAAGAAAAAATAAAATCATGAATTGTTTAATTGTTTAACCAAAGGATCATATATACCACCCTCAAAGGCATCAATGGCTTCATTGGCTAGTTCACCCAGTAAATCATCCACTGTCCACTGACCATAGTACAAATGGCTGGAGATGCCACTGAAGAGGTACCGCGTGGTAAAGGTATGCCTTGGATTTCACAATGTCATTTCCATAGCCATGGGGTATAGAACTCAGAAACTAACATCAATCTTGAAAGCACAAAAAATGATACCATTGTGATCCGGATACGAGGTATCATTGGTAACTTGAGGCCCCAGGTGGCTGATTGCACATTGCCAGGAAATTACCATGTAGGGTCTCCGCAATTGCCCTCTACCCTCGTCACCATGGAAAAAATACGGTATGCAACACCCAAGGTCGAAGTCAGGTCGTTGGAAGACTGGGTGGCTTCCATCAATTTTTCTGTACAATTCCCAGAACCTGTAAAAGGTTTCCTTCCAGGTTCCTTTGTGGTCCAATGCGTTTCCTCCCAAAAGCAGTTGAGGCTTGTTGTTGAGCATCCATTTTGCCCAGTCTTCCATGCGAATTACTGGCCACCAAACTTTCAAACCTCGAATTGGTTTCCTCAGTTTGACTTGCACAGGACATACATTCACAGGTATGTCCAGTATTTGCCCATGCGTTGACTTGATAAGTCGACGCATCACTGTGCAAGCATCCTTTTGCCTGCGGTAGGCAGAGCTCAGCTTGACCAAGAGCTTGCCCTTCACGCCACCTATGGCCAGGAACGTCAGGATGATTCCATGTTTCGGTGATAAGATGGCTGTATCATAACTTGTGAGTTGCAATATATATGGACCAGTGCAGTGTGGTTTTACATATATATATAAATTATATATTATATTATATTATATATATATATCTAAGAAGTGTATATATATATATATACATAATATATATATATATATATATATATTATTTTTCATAAATGGGGTACCACCAAATGGATGGTGCATAAAAATGCAAAATCATATTAAAACTGATGATTTAGGGGTACCTGCCTCTATTTATGGAAACTTCCTCTCACATTTGACATTTGGGATGGTCCTAATTGATTATTGGGGCTATTGGCACCAACAGTTGCTAGTTGGATGTCCCAAGCTATGGGCCCCTACTTCAGGAAACCCCTATATTGTTTAATAGCCAAGGTTCATTTCGAAGTGATCCGGCAAATCATAGAAGCAATCTTTCCACATTTGTAGGCTGATTCAGCCTCAATTTTGGCCAATGAAATCAGGGGTTGGTAAATGTCCCATTTGAACATCACCCAACTATTGGGGATATAAATTCCAACAGATATTTGAAGGTGATATTCAAAATCCCCAAAAAGGGACATTTACCAACCCCTGGAAATTATCAAAACATTTGGTACCATGGATTTTGAAATGGTGGGGTTGCCCAACAAATGAAAACCAAGAAACCCCTTTCAAATACTCATCCATGACTTCCCTGGCCAACTCATCAGTTAGCTCCTCGATGTTCTCATCCGGCGCTGGTGCAGGTTGACAAGAAACCGAGCATCCTGCCAAGAGAGGATAGGGTGGATGGGTACTGGAATGTACTGGAGGGATGCAGTGTGAGACATCATATGGGATGATAAATTTTGTATATAGTTATTGGAAATTATAAAAGCACAGGAGGTCGCAATCAAAGTCAGATGCAAGATGGCTGTAGCATATCCAATTGTTCCCCATGCCAGCCTTTCAGCTCCTTTGCACTTTTAAAGTGACCTGGCAGTTGGGAATATATAGCTCGCTCTGTGGACCCCAGCTTTGGGGAAGTCTGGGTGAAAGCTGCACAAAAATAACTTCCGACTTTTTTTTGTCTCGGCCATCGGTTTCTGGCAAGCTGATCCATCCAAAAGCCGCAAGCTGTGCTCACAATCACATATCATGAACAGAAACTTGGAGTGTTTGTCTTCAGTACATCTCAGATCATCTGAGCACAGTGCATACCAACAAAGCATCAAAATTTGTTGGTCCTAGAGGTCCTACATGTTCACAGTTGCCCGACATGGGCATGACTGTACCATTGCATTCACTGCATCACTTTGTCTTCTTGACTTTGCGTTTGGGAGTAGGTTCGACCGGCGGTTCCTCTTCCTCCTCCTCTTCCTCATCCTCCTCCTGGTCATCTTCCTCTTTGGTTGCAGTTGATGCAGCCGCCTTTGCCTTCTTGTCACTCTTGTCTCTCTTAGACGTCTTCTTGCGCTTCTTCTTTTCATCTGCGCCGGTCTTCTTTTTCTCTTCTTGCCCTCTTCTTGCGCTTCTTCTTTTCATCTGCGCCGGTCTTCTTTTTCTTTGCTGCCTCTTCGTTTTTCTTATTTTTCCCCCCAGACTTGGCTTTCGGCATAGCTTTGGGTTTCACAGCCCTGGCAGTCACATGGCACATATGATGACCAATATATATATGTTATAGGCATGCTCATGAGGGACATGTATTTGAATAACCTGCCTGCATCGTGTGATAACTTGGTTCAATTGAACATCCTCCTTGGTGAGCTCACAAAGCAGCTTTCGCAGGCTAGCTTTTTGCTGCCTGGGCAAGCTGGATAAGCACTATCATCAAGTATGCACATATATGAACCCATCAAAAAGAAGCTGAGGGTTTTACTGCGATGGGGGGGCATCCATGCTGATCGCATCAGCTTGATATGTCAGGAGCTCTGCAAACTTCGTCTTGAAGCTCTCCAGTTTGGTGTGCAACTCGCCTTGAAGCCTGGGCCACAAACACAGATCAAATTGCATCTAAATCACATCTGATGGGTTGCGTATGGTCATGTGATTTCAACAATCCATGCACTTATATATGATATTTCACTAAGCCGGTATGTGGTTGAACCACAC